ATCTTGGGTTCTGGGTGTGAGAAATGAAGCAGGAAGGTCAGTTAGGAGATCATGTGCAGTGGCAGAGGTGAAAGATTACGGTAGTTGCTTCAACCGGGTAATGACGGATTTAGAGAAAAGTGGACAAATCTGAACTCTGCATCAGCGCATATGTGTTGGGAATGGGGAGCAGGAAAGGGCGAGGTGTGGAGTAGGACCTTCGATGTCCCTTCTCCAGTACCTGGGTGGGTGGAAGTGACTGGCATGGCACTGAGCTCGAGCTGGAGACAGTGACAGTTTCGTCCTAATTTTAAGGTGTCTCCGAGAGAAAACTAGGTGCAGGTGATGCCATGTTAGGGTTTCACAGGCACGTTAAGCATGCAAAGAAACAGTGTAACAGTACCCTCTGTAGGTGACTGTATCGTATGCTTTGCATTTAATAAATGTAAAAAGTTACTGTTTTAATCCTCAGAGGCTTGTTAGAAAATTATTGTGTTAGGAGGGAAATATTAATTTTGTTTCTTAAAACTGAATGTTAGAAAGGTCAAAGAAGCATGGAGAATTAATATCATAACTCATATGACAATCATAACATGTTTCATGGGAGAATGAAAGGTTTTAACTTCATAACTTTGTTTTAAAGCAGATGATTACTTGACACTTTAACTTTTCTAAATGTTTGTCATTTCTAGAGAACAGTTTAGTTATGTAAAAGATATCTGAAAACATGAGGGGTGTTTTAGATGGTGTAGGTTATCTAAATGTTATTTCAAAACACTTATTTTTATCTTCTCTCCTTTATCCTGCTGTTTCTTTTTGTGATCTCAAAAAGTGAAATTGAAATGCCTAGATATAGCACTTAATTTATTTTTACTGCAAAGATGCATCTAGAAGTCAAGTGAGAGAAAAATCACTTCTCTGAAAACTCAGCCCCCTTTTGTGCTCTTCCTTCCTGACTTCTGTCTGTTGGTATAAGTAGTTCATTACTCAGACTGTGTGCACATGGCTTGCACTCATTTAACTTATACCTGTTTGCTGTGTTTACTCGTATAATTCCCTCTTTATTCATAGTCACTTTGTAGATAAGAGGGTAGAAGTGGAGAATTAGTTATGATAATCATGCTGCAGTGAACTCCAACTCTGCTAAAATCCAGGTTATAATTCCTCCCTTGGATGGCTGCTTAGAGGTCAGAATTCTTATTGTGCGAAAGGAATTTAAACATTTGATGAGAGCAATGAAATGATGTTTATCTCTGAACTTCTTTTCACTGTTTAACATTTTTGGGGGTTGTCTAGCTTAATACCTAATTAGACTAAAAAATTATTTACAGAGTAAAAACTGTCTAAAAACAATAAAATGTCATTTCTGAAATAATCTTTAGCCACTGAAGGTTGAGGCTAGCTTGCTTACTTAAAAATAAGAAGAGAGAACAATTGATATGTTTTCAGTATTAATAGGATTGTGTGACTAGGGTTCCAAATGCTTTTCTGAATTAAGAGTTCTATGTGAGTATAAGCCTTAGGATTTCATGGAAAGATGCACATTATATGATAACTAAACTTAGGAAATTAAGGCAGAAAATGCTATTTCCCTGACCAGGTATTGAAAAAGTGCAGAAGACACATCATCCTTTTTATAGATGAAAACTGCTAAAAGCTAATCAGCACTGCAAAGGATAGTGGTAACTGGTGATAATTCACTCTGGTGATAGAAAGGCCAGGAGAACAGCAAGGTTGATACAATCATTTTACATTAGATTAATATCCTTATGTCTAAAACAGACTGTTTCTGAGCATTCAGTTGTGCCTATGGAAACACTTGGCTGTCCTTCTGGTCTCTGAAGAACAGGAACAGCCTGAGATCTGTTGACAGTCAAATCTCACTAGAGTGGGTCAAGGGAAAACTTTTTTTTAATGCAGTATGTAAAAGTTGAAATAATGTAGAAAGAGGCAAAGGAAAAATGTAACTGTATTTCTTGTTAGGCAGTTTGTAGCCTCAGATACCTGTATGAAATTAGATAGTATAGTCGTGTAGAATAGCATTGTCCAAAATAATTACAATAATAATAATGTGAAACACATGTGTAATCTTAAGTTTTCTATGGCCACATTAAATAATAAAAAGAAATAGGTAAAATTAATTTTAATGATATATTTGATTTAACCCTATATTCAAAATAGTATTACCTGAAAATGTAATCAGTAAAAAAATTATTCATGAGGTTTTTCTGTACTAAGTCTTCTCAGTACAATGTCTGTTTTACACTTACAGCAAATTTTAATTTGGATGAGTTACATTTTAAGTGCTTGTGTGGCTAATGGCTACCTGTTGGACAGCACAGTTCTGGAACAAACATTTTCTTTTCCTTTCCTATTTTCTACACGTACATAGGGAGCTCAGGGACCATTGACTGACTGATTTTGGAAGTGAAGGCTGCATATTTGTGTCTTGGTTAGGAAGGGCCTGTGGCCGTGTGATGAATAATCCTGTGCGGCTCAAGCAGCAGTCGTTCAGTCGAGGACTGAGGGTGATAAAGGCTAAGAGTGGTTCGACTTTATTCCGCCCTCTGTGAGCACCTGTGTTGTGATTGTCCTAAGAACATTGCGTCCTTGATTCGTGGGGAACTGAATTGTCAGTTTCATGTTTTATAAAAAATATATTTTGAGGAATTTTCTTTTGCAAAGATAGGAGGCATGACAATTTTTATTGTTTTTCATTTTCTAAAGTAAAATTTTCTTAACCATTTACTTTTTATAATACTCCTAAAGACTAAAATCATATTCCATCATAATCCTTGTGGGAGGGGCAGTAACTAAATGTTTATTAATATTCATTCCTATTAGTTTTTTTAAAAGGCATTTGAAACTTAAAAAAATTACAAATTTCAGAATAAAGGGCATTAATTCAGAAGGTTTTTTTGTATTTGTTGTTTGAATATGTGGGTTATCTAAAAAATGTGCATTTATTTTAATAATAAAAATTCCCTCGTAAATGAATCCTGGTTTATGCACTTTGTGGGCTAAATGAATTAGGTTCTAAACTTTTGTCTGAATCTATGGAGCTTGGATATAAATTGAAAAGATCACAGCTATGGGGAGAAGACCTATACCGCAAAGGCCTTTCTGCATAGATTATGAACATCATAACTCAATAATTTTTTCAAAACTATGGTTATAATTGGACCCAATGGGGGTCTGTTTCTTTGATCAGATCACAGCAACTGTGACTTTACACTGGAAAATGTCACTACTGTGAAGGTTTATCACCTGTAGAGCTGGTCTTTCCTCTGATGCTGTGTTCATTTCTCATTAGCATTATTCAAAGTTTAGTTGTTAATTAGGTTGACACTTCAATTACAGTCATCATCTGTAAGAGTAGTCAGGGCTGCTTGCATAAAGAAATAAAAATATTCCTTCTCAGGCATGTATATATATGGAGAAATGACATTATCTCGTTACCCACTAGTTGTGTAAGGATAAGAATATGGTTGAGGAAGCAATTCAACCAGAATCTGTCTCATCACTTTTCTTCCCCTTAAAAAAATAATTATGCAATTTCACATGTTTCCATTTTAAGCATTGATGAGGAATATATGAGAATCAGTATTTTTAAGTGTACAGTCTATAGTTTCCTATTTTGTGTGAAAGGAATTGGTGAAATGAATGTGTAGGAACATTTTATATCTCCTCCCCCTTAAGAAAATAAGAGTTTGCATCAGGAGTATGATCGCACTTAAAAATCTAAGTCAGGGCTATTCATAAATAATATGCGTTCTCTAAAATTGCCGTCTCCAGACCCCGGACCGTGCACGGGTACTGGTCTGCCTGCTGGTAGGGGCCAGGCCCCAGAGCTCTGAGCAGGTCCCCCCAACTATCCCCCCACCCTCTGAAAAATGGTCTCCCATCAACTCAGGAGCTGGGTTGGGGCACAGCAGGAGGTGAGCAGGTGAGTGCCAGGCCAGGCAACCATCACAGCTTCCTGTCTGTTTACAGCTGCTCCCATTGCCTGTGGGCACCGCCTGAGCCTCCCCTGCCCTCCTCCGCCCCATCCGCAAAAAAACTGTCTTCCATGCAACTGGTCTCTGGTGCCAGAAATGTTGGGGACCGCTGCTTTGAGACATAACCCTTGAAATTAAAAGATGGAAAATGTGTAAACATTATAACATTTAAGTGTCTTTTAAATAATGCAAATTCCTAGGTAAGTTTTTCTTTGATTCAAAAACAGGAGTGTTTTAATCTGATGACTGGTTCATGAGGCAATGGCATTGAACTCAAACCCAGCATGTGGTAGTAGAAACAACAGGACTGAACTGTGTTTAAATCACAGCTTTGTCAGTTTTTAGCTACATAGTAAGGGCAAATTAATTCACATCTTTGTGCCCTGTTTTTTCATTCATAAATGGGAATGCGAATGCTTTCCTTAAAAGACTGTTGTGAAAATTAAATGAGACAATGTATAACATATGCATACAATTCTCCACTCATGATACGATCTCAATAACTTTATCTCCTCTCCCCCTTTTTTAATCTAATAATGACAAAAGCTATTCAACAAATGACTGGAAAATTACGAATGCAAATGAGGTTTCCAAAAATAAAATTAAATGGTAAGTGATCCTGAAGGACCCATAACAAATAACCTTACACAGCAGAAATGAACGACACCCAGCCAGCTTCATCTCAAAACAAGTAGACACATGTTGTAATTGCTAAAAGTCTGCAGAAAAGTGGCTCACAGGCAGTTTACTGTAAAATAATTAAAGCTTATTTATGTCAAGAGGCCTTGGGAGAAAAAAAAGAGAGCATAAACCAATTTGCATTAGCACTTTACTATCCTCTCCTGCTTTCGTTTCAATTAACAGACCAGCAGGTGCTCTCTGCAGTTAAAAAGATAAGCTACCAGGGAGGAGGATGAATTTTTGGCTGACCTGCAGACACTGTGGTTTGCCTGCTGATTGGGTTCGTACCTCGCTGTACCAATTTCTGAGGTGTTAATTTAACTGTTCCTCTCTGTCATGCAGGTCTCGGCCTTGAAAAATAAACTGAAGAAGCAGTCTACAGCTACGGGTGATGGAGTAGCCAGGGCCTTTCTTAGGGCGCAGGCTGCTTTGTTTGGATCCTACAGAGATGCATTGAGATACAAACCCGTAAGCTTTTTATTTCATCACTATTTTCATTTCCTTTTTTTATGGTTCTTTAAAATAAGGCAGGAAAAAGAGACATCATTTTAATATCACACCTTAAAAAACATATCATGATGGTTTTTTAAAAATCCAAAATAATATGCTTTAAAACACATTCATATCCGGTTTCTTGACTTTTTGTTTTTAGTTTTTAGTAATCTTTAGTTAATATTTCCCACATTCCTTTGCGTATCATCTTATTGATGTTCCAAAAATGGAATATTTATCTCTTAACTAATGAATGAATTATGTTAATGTATTTTAAAACTTTCCTGATCTTGTTAAGATAATTAAGAAATTCACTGGACAATTGGATTTATTAGATGAGTGAATTTTGAAATGACAAGTACAAAGTAAAAAAAATTACACCTTGAACATTTAACAGTAGTTGAAAGTTCTCTTCCTAATTCATAACAATTTTCTAAAGTAGGCTCATTTATTTATAATGGCATATCTTAGCTCATTTTCCCTTTTTTTTTTGTTTATTAAACTAAAAATGGTTATTGTGTAGAATTATAGCCAAGTTTTTAGGTGGTCCAAAAAGGTGTAAGTCAAAATATATTTGTTTCTCTCTCTGGATTGTTGGTTAAAGTATGTTAGGCTGATTTTATAAAAATTATTACACTATTCTCAATGACCGGTGAATACGTTGTAAGAGAGAAAAACATTGAATTAATGATAAGAACTGCCATCTAATAGGAATTCAGTTACTAAGCTGTGTAACCTTGACCCACTTCCTTTGTCTCTCTAGACTTTGATCTTCTTATTTGTAAAATAAGGTATAAGAATTCATATACCTTCCCTATCTGTCTTTCAGGGATGGTGTGCAAACCTTATTGTAAAGTATGAAGCATTAAACAAACATGAATGGGTTATATGCTTTTTAAACTGACTTCTTAATTGGTGATTCCCACCCTCTGGTTCTTATACCTCTGGAGGGTTATTGAGTTATCAGGAGGAATCCTTAAATCCATGGGCAGATCAGCTTATGTTTCTAGATAAGTGCATCTATCTAGTTTACATGCTAATCTTTTTGAACTGTGTGTGTATTTTTAAAGCATTATAGAATTCATAGTATTGTACGTAGTATACATATCTCACATGGGTCTCATAAACAAAAAATTGTTTATAGTTATAAGGGTCTCTTTCTATAAATGACTGGAAACTAATTATCCACACTACAGTAGAGCGTGTTCATCTTCAAATTATTAAATATTAATTAAAACATAAAAATGAGTTTGAAAAACAAAGTTAGTGATTAATTTTAGTTAAGTCAGATTTTTAAAATAAGAATTGATTTCAAGTTTATAGCAGGAGGGAAAGTTAAAAATATCACTTTGCTTGAGTTTTGACATATTTAAATACTTATTCATCTACACAAACTAATTTTTTTCTTTTCATTTTCCTTTAAAAATTTGTGGAAGACTTCAGATTTGAAGAAAGAAGCAAATTAAAGAGAGGATTTTTCTTAAATTATTTAAAATTATCAGTTTTAGGTACTGGGTGAAATTATTAAACTATCTCATCTTTAACATTAATTACTACAGATTGTATACTTTAATTTTCTCCCCCTTTGAGCTTCATTGAACAAATAAGGGTAGAAAATGTCAATGACTTTAATTTATTTTAAAAAAACATCTTGAAAGCCAGATTCCCAGTATCTATGAAAAGTTTTGTCATAGAGTATCTTTCCTGTTTATTGATCACACTTTATTATAAATTTATTTGCTTATTTACATTTTTTCTTTTTCTTTTTTGAGATAGAGTCTCACTTTGTTGCCCAGGCTAGAGTGAGTGCCGTGGCATCAGCCTAGCTCACAGCAACCTCAAACTCCTGGGTTCAAGCAATCCTCCTGCCTCAGCCTCCCGAGTAGCTGGGACTACAGGCATGCGCCACCATGCCCGGCTGATTTTTTTCTATATATATTAGTTGGCCAATTAATTTCTTTCTATTTATAGTAGAGACGGGGGTCTCGCTCTTGCTCAGGCTGGTTTCGAACTCCTGACCTCGAGCAATCCGCCCACCTTGGCCTCCGGAGTGCTAGGATTACAGGCGTGAGCCACCGCGCCCGGCCATTTTTTCTTTTTATATTTGATGTTTTCTCCTTTTCTGCTTCTAGTTCTGGGATCATATTTCATTTTATATGCCCTTATATTTCTTCTGACTGAATCTCTGAATGAAAGCTTCTTTTTCAAAGTATACTGAATACATTTCAATGATTTTTTTCTATGTATTTATTTTCACAAAAAGTAGTTTTTAAGGGAAATGATTTGTTTCTTTATTGTATCTAAAATATGGGTTTTTTCATCTGTGATCTTTACAAATTACCCTGTATCATAGTTTATTAAAAGTATATTTATTTTTTTATTTTAGAACTTCTTTTGGTCATTTATATAACAGGCCTATGTCTTTGGTATATTTTTTGATTGATGTAAAAAAAGGGGACTAAGTGTAGAAGTTGCAATTATTTCATGGTTTTGTCTTTTTTCAGAAATATATTTCAGGAGTATTTTCTAGTTATTATAGTATAATTAGAAAGGAGAAAATTGCTAGTTTAAAGTGGATCTGAAATCTTTTACTAGGCATTACTTTTTAAAGTTTTGTGATTGTTTATATACATAAAAAATGAACTATTATTTTCCCTTACATTTGACAAAATTAAACCTGTTGGTTAGGCCTGTGACCAGATCCAGGGGCCATCTCTCCACCTGACAGTCAAGCCCTTGCTTTGGGGTCCTCTGTCTTTGCCTTTCTCCCAAACTGACCTCATTTCAGAGAATTCTGCCTAAGACTCCAAATGTCCCAAGTTTCTCAGGCTTCCAAACCTTTATTTATAATATTCTTTCTTCCTGGCTTTAATCTTTTTGGCTTTTAATAGCCATCTAGTTCCTTTCTTATTCTTGAAGCTGTAGTTTGTACTGATCCTTTCTTGCTATGAATTAATTACACTTATTTAACACATTTGTTTTTCCTTTTTCATATATTGTATTTTAAAGCTGAGGAAAATGGTACCCATAGAATTTAAATAACCTCACTGATTTGCCCCAGTGAGTGAATACTGAGGCTTGGATTAGAGTCAGTTTTTCCCCCAGTCGGCGAGTTCCTGTTCTGTTGTGTGTCTGTTATCCTGTCACACACTCCTTAAGATAAGTTTCCTGAATGTACATTTCTTCAAAATGAAAATACCTGTAAGGCATTCAGTATTCACCTATGGAAAGACTGAATTGAATACAAAGTTGTGGGAATTTTCTCAAAGGGAGCAGGTGGTATGGGCATCTCATGGTGGGTGTATAAATTGGGGAAATGGTTTGATGTTCATGCTGTATATTACCATTTATGGTTTTGTTTAACTGGGGTAACTGGCACTGCTCAGCTCCATCCGCTTCCTTCCAGCCTTCTAATTCTTCTCTTCCCTTCTGTGTCTCAGTACGCCAGTAGCAGGACTGACTATATCGTACTGAAAAGAAGTTTGCATTTGTCTAATTTTCTCCGTAGCAAATCATCTAAAGTGGAAGTCAATGGCAAGATACTTCATTATATAGGAATGTACTTCTTATTCTGCTTATTAAGATGCAGTAAGGATGTAATTTATGCATTTAACAAATACATGTTTAACACTGCTATACTAGAACTTGTCTGAGGCTTCTAGACAGAAAAATAAAAAAATGTTAAGCCTGTGCCTTCCAGGAGCTTATAGGGATGTAGGCTTATGTAGTTATTTATTCTATAGCAATAGTAAAGAAAATGCAGAAAATGATAAAAGAGAATTATGCTTTTAAGTCTATGAGAAACAGAAGAAAACTGGGAGGTACCAACTTAATATGTATGTTTTTCTGGGGAGATTATCCATATCTTTTACCACATTCTTGAAAAAGAAAAGGACCAGGGCAGGTTAAATTCCCATAGAAGTTGGCAGAACCAGTTGGTCTTTCTATATCAATCTGGAGAGTTTTAAATTATCTTAGAGTTAATGCATGATGTTTGGAATCATTTACCCTAAGAAGGAAGTGCTAAGCATCGTGTATTAGCAAGATCACTCTGATGAGGGTGTTCTTAGGTCACAGTCGAGTGAGCCCAGAGACAGGGAAGCAAGTGAAGCTATTAATAGTCGCATTGAAGGGAGAGGAAGAAAGATCTCTCCTGAGTGGCTTCAAGGCCCAAATCTGGAGGACTGTGGGGAGGAAGACCTGGTATTGGGGAATAAGTTGGATGTGGCTCCCTCAGGATGACTTGCATGTTCCTCTGTTTACTAAATACATGTGCTAAATACTGCACAAGAGTAAATTATTGCATAAGTTATTTAGAATGTCTCAGGGGCAGCTTTCAATATATTGTTACTTTTCTTACAGTGCCTAATTTACACTCTAAATGACACAGTTGGCATGATTGACAAATAAATGGTACCTACTCTTAATTATAGAGAAAAAAACTCCTAAAGTTGTTGGAAAGAGATTTAAATAAAATAATGGATATTTTGCTTTTTTAAAAATTTTAGCCAGCAGCAAGTTAGCTACTTTTTAGGGATTCAGAAATGTGAGATAAAACTAATGTGCTAACTGAAGAAAAGTGATGAGACTGTGAAAACAGATTGCCTGGGTTCCTCCTCATTCTGTGACTAATTGTTTGACTTTGGGCAAGTTAACTTCTTACTGCTTTAGTTTTCTCATTAAAAAAAAAAATGTAATGATACTTCTTGGGTTGGCACATAGTACATGCTGTATATGTTAGCTATCATTAAAAGTGAAATTTTAGAAATAGTAGATTTGGTAAAGAAATTTTCATTAGCATAACCAAGAAAAAGCTCCCTCCTTTGATCTCAGAAAAGGGAAACTTGATAATACTTTTAAATGATTGCATTAAGTAACTAATAAAGAGTCTTTGTATCAGTTGGGTTACGGGCTATTAAAAATAAAAGTCAAGCAGCTAATGCTAAAGAAATGTTTGCTCGAGTTAAAGTGTTGCTTAGAGTATCAGAGGCAGGCTTGATTGTCCTGTCTGAGAGCAGCGAAGCAACACTCAGTCTCATTCCTTGAATGTGTGGGTGCTGTCTGTCCTTTCCGCCACTCGGGCTCTTCCGGGCTGCCTTCAGCCTCCTCGCTCACGGATACAAAGCAAATTACTTTGAAAGTAAAGATTGGGTAGTAATCTGGGCCTCAGTTTAACACGTTGGAAGAGTTGTCCCTCAGACATTTGGGGGATGATTTTTCTTTAAAACAATATCAGCAAGTAATGGCGTATTCAGTGATCAAGTTCAAGCAAGTTAAACAGAGGATTGGTGTCTGTAACTTAAGAGGCCATTCACTAAGTCTTTACCTTAACACTTCCGCTTAAGAAATTTGTAACTGTCAACTTGTTAGAGTTTTAAAAATCCAAGTTGAAATTACCATTTACTCACCCCTCACAGTTTTGTGGTTACTAAAACATTTTAGGAGTCTATTCATCTCCTTATCCATCCTTGAGTTTGGATGGTCCTCCTGACTTTAAAGATGGTTGCTACCAGAGAGAGATCTGGTGTGTGTCCAGTATTCTGAAGGAAAAATTTTGTATTTATGGCATTTTCTTTCTGCTCTTTTTTAATTAACAGGGAGAGAATTTTGCTTAGTTGCTTTAGCAATAATGTAAAATTTCTCCACCACTACTATGGGGCAAGTATTAATAGAATTCGGGACTTGATTACATTTTTATGTCACTGATAATATGTTTTATGAGACTGGAGAGTGTTTTTCTAATTTTCTTAAATTGTGGGAGAGAAAAATGTATTTTTTCATAGTATGTACAAAGTTAATGCATAATCTGTTAATCTTTCTAAATGTTCAAATCTAACCAAAATGCTAGAAATAGCAGTATCTAATTTAGAACAACCAATTTCTTTTTCTATTGTAAGTTGCTGGATCATAGGCAAAGGAAAGGTTGGTAGGTGGCTATATTTTTTCAAGACTGACCCAGTAACTATGGGGTGAACTATAGTTTATGATAATATTGATAAATAGAAGATTTTGCTGCTGATGATTAAAGTTTGCAGTTTGAATATGAGGCTCTTTTTCATTGACTTCAAGCTAAAGTGTCAGCTTTAGAAAACAATTATTGTAACAAACTCTGAAAGTGGACTTGTGTACCATATATGATAATAGCATTGGGACACTTGGAAGAAAAATGCTATCTAATCTGAGAAATCATTTATTATTGTTTCTTATGATAATCTGCACATATTTGAGTATTCTTATGAGACACCTGCTGCCATAGTCTTTCAGAGATTTGACAATTTAAGCCATCAATGTGCAGGTATTTTTGCTTAGTTTATTTATACTCCTTATGAAATATTGACATTACATATTAAATCCAGGCATATTAAGAAACTGCTTAAAAATAACATTGATGTTTTGGATTATATTCCACATTTTGCGCTGTATCATTCTTTCTGAGACCTTAATTTTCTTTTAGTGTTAACTTTGTTATATGCATTCTTATAGCATAAGATCTAGCTTGTGTTTTAAGCATTCTCTTGTTTTTGCAAAGTTCTCTACTCCAGAATACAATATGTAGAACTTAAAAGATATCCATTCTTAAAAACAAACAAACAAAAATAAGTCAATAATAATCATCACTGTGAAGTTGAATGTAATATTAGGGTAGAAAAATAGCCCTTTCTCATCTGTATTCTCCTTGTGGCTTAATTATCCTGTTTAAATCATTCACATAGTAACTACCACATATTTATTTAGGTCCCAGAATGCCAGGTACTGTATTGACTAGGAAATGCAAAGATGAGTAAGAGTTTAGGCCCAGACCTCCAAAGTTCACAGATAAACTATGTAAAAATAACTTTTAATACAAGGCAGAAAAGAAGTACCTAAGAAATATACAAAAAGATCTGGGTCAGAGGAGGAAGAAATTACTTCTTTTTGTTGAAGAATATTTCTACTAACCTGAAATCCAACTATTACTATATATAATGTTCTGTTTCTGTATCTTACACCTCCTGTATGACTCTTCTTGTGCCTCCTTAAAGCGATTGGTTCTCTGTGCCTGACCTTTTGTTGATGCCCTTAAAATCTTCACTTCTGCCCAGGGTGAGCCTGTCACTTTCTGTGAGGAGAGTTTCGTCAAGCACCGCTCAAGTGTGATGAAGCAGTTCTTGGAAACTGCAGTTAACCTCCAACTTTTTAAGCAGGTAAGAGTGGACCTCCACATTTTTCTTTTGTGACAGAGTATTGTCATTGTTACACATTTTTATTATTATAAAACTATGTTCAAACCTTGAGTAATATCTTTTCTAGAATTACAAGAAAATTTTCTTTCTTTTGTAACTTTACAGCTAGTTATGGCCTAACACTCCAGAAATATGTGATAACTTTGCTGTTAAAAAATTCCTTACCAAAAGTTACTAAGCTTAAGATCTCACTAAGGAAAGGTGTACATTCACAGAAGAAAAGGCAATGTGATAGTTTTATGTAGGACGTCTTAGAAGTTGTTATTTTGGTGTGGTAGACTGATAGGGTAACTAAACTGTATTTTGTATAGGACTGTTATGGTGTAATCTAGTTTATAAAATAATTCATAAAATGAACAGTGTTTAACCAATTTTTAAGCTTTGTAGGACTTTTAATAATTATAAATTCAAAATAAAATCCATAGTTTTGCTATATGTCCTTTTTGTTCAGATAATATAATTGCCTATTTCAAAAATGCAGTAGCTTGACTTCAGAATTCAGAAATTTTAGATGCACTGGTTCTGTCATTCCATTGTGTGGCCATAGCAAGTCTTTCAAATTGGGTCGTCTTAGTTTCTGTTTATATAATGTAAATTAAGGTCTTCACACTTGCTTTTTCTTTTCCCCTGACCATTTTAAGTGTAAAGTTATCCCTGTGAATTCAGCATTTTATGAAGACTTATGGGCGTGTCATAAACTGTGCTCGGGGCCAGAATACAAACATGAATAAAAACCCACTAATACCTTAGAGATGCTAAAAATCTAGTACCAGTTTCTTTGGACTGTTAGAAGAAAAAATTCCGTATGACTTGAAATAACCTTCAAATCAGGTCATTAAAGAAATCAGCATGGCAACAAATTAATGCTACTGTGCATATTCTGAGGAAGTTTAAAAAAATTACCTGAGATTAGAAAATACTCCGTGGGAGATCTGTTTTCCAATAAATGAAGTTTTACCTTAAGGAAAGGGTCAGAGTTATTCCTGGACACAAACTTTAAGAGCATGGATTTCAGGATTAGAGAGCTGTCTTAGGAATTTCCAAAGATGGAATGAGCTACTTTTGGAGCTTTTTGTCCCTAGAGGTCTCTAAGCCTAGACTGAATTACTACCCAGGTCTTGAACTACTGAACTCAAGCCATCCTCCCACCTCAACCCTTTAGAGTTCTATGATTACAGGCGTCAGCCACCGTGCCTGGCCTTATTTCCAGGATTGAGAGGAAGATCAAGTGTTATCATTGCTGGATTGTAGCTTTGTACAGTTTCACGCTGGTCATACAGTGTATGCCTGGTGAGTTGCGTATTAGCACCCTTTTAGTATTATCTTCTGTTATTGAAACTGATCCGTGAAGATCTAATTATATGTGGGGGTCAAGGATTGAATGAGTGGGTAGAAAATCTAACTTACTGCTTCTCTTGACCATGAGATTTTATCACTAGATTCTTACGATTTGATAAAGTTAATAAAGTGTAGTAAATTTTTCTTTTAAAACAACAAAGGTTTATTTCTTGCTGACACTGCATGTCCTTTGCCTGGAGGCTCTGTTCTCCATTGTCTGCATTTTGGGACCCAGCAACTGGAGGCCCACCCAAAGGCCTTGGCCTGCTGCTGATGGAGATGAAAGGCCCTTTCCCTCTGAGAAAGATGATGGCTATTCCCGTTGGAACTGCTAGCAAACAAAATTTAGCCAAAAAACCCCCAAAAGTACAAAGATATAGAAAAGAAGACACCAAACTGACATTATTTTTATTACTTTAAAGATAGAGACACATTTCTTAAAACATGAATGAATAGCTTAATAAATTTGACTTTATTACAGTTCAGAACTCTTGGTCATCGAAAGACACTATATTCGCAATACACACAAACCACCCAAGGATTCAGAATCTGGAATGAAAAACCAAGCTCCCACATGCCAGTAAAAACATACGATCCAATATAATTGTATTAATACAAAAGACTTGAATAGGCACATACAGATGAAGAACCCTAAATGTCAATAAAGATATGCAGGATACTTAACCTCATGTGTAATTAGAGAAAGTTAACCTTACCCCAGTGAGAATGGCTTTTATTTAAAAATCCCCAAAACAGTAGATGCTGGTGTGGATGCAGAGAAAGGAAGCCTTATACACTGTTAGTGGGACTGCAAATTAGTACAAACTCTATGGAAAATAGTATGGACATTTTTCAAAGTACTAAAAGTAGATTTACCATTCGATCCTAGCAATCCCACTACTGAGTATCTACCCAAAGGAAAAGAAGTAATTTTTATCAAAAAGAGACCTGCACCCAAATGTGTTTTGCAGCACAATTCATGATTGCAAAGATGTGGAATCAACCCAAGTGCCCATGAATTCATGAGTGGATTAACAAAATGTAGTATATGTATATACCATGGAGTCCTACTCAGCCATAAAAAGGATGAATTAATGCCATTTTTTTTTAGCCATTTGGAAAGAATTGGAGATCATCATCCTAAGTGAAGTATCTGAAGAATGGAAAAACAAATACCACATGTGTTCTCTAATAAATTGGAGCTAGCTGAGGGGCACACATGTGCACAGAAGGAAATAAAAGTCATTGAAAACCAACTGTGGGGCATGGGGTGGAGGAGAGGGGCAAAAACCTAACAGGTATAGTGAACACTATTCGGGTGATGGGCACACTTATGGCCCTGACTCAGAAGCTTTCCATGTAACGAAAACTTTGTACCCCCTTAATATTTTGAAATAAAAAAGAGGAAAGAAAATAATAGCAAAAAAAAAAAAAGTCAAAGAAAAACACAGTGAAATATTACCTCACATTTGCTAGATTGGCCAAATTTTAAAAAACGTAAAATCCCAAATTTGAGCAAGGGCATTAAACAAGAGACAAAGATATAACTCTTCATGGCAAGGTAGATTTGTGCAGGTTATTTAGGAAACACTTTGGCACGACCACTTTACATTAAACATACACATTTTTTATGTCCCAGGAATTTCACTGTAAAATGCGCACCAAAGTCATTTACCAAAATTGCTCATAATAGCAAATCGGGAATTAACTTAGATATCCATGAATATTAAATAAATTGTTATAGTCATACAATAGAAGACTATACGTCAGGGAGATGAATGAACAGCAAAACTGGAAATGAGTGATTTAAATGAAAAGAGCAAGTCACTGAAAACGTATGATAAAACATTTTATGTGATGTTCAAAAACAAGAAAAACTAAATATATTATTTAGGTAAACATATATGTGATAAAACCATAAAGAAAGGCAAAGAATGGATAAGCTGAAAGAATTATGGGTTTTTCTGTAGAGGGAGAGAGACACAAAGGGAGGGACATTCTAAGGTAAAACAGCATTCTCCTAGTTTTATCATTTTTTAAATACTTCAATTGTATAATTTTTGGCTTTATTTTTAAAAAAATTTAATTGGCAAATAAATAGTAATTGTATATATTTATGGGATACAGTGTTGATGTTTTGATATCTTTATATGCATCATAGAATGATTCCATCAGGTTAATGTATCTATTACCTCACAGACTTATTTTTTGTGGTGAGAATGTTTAAAATCTACTCTTTTAGCAATTTTGAAATATACAATTATTTATTTTTTGAGACAGAGTCTCACTTTGTTGCCTAGGCTAGAGTGGCGTGGCATCAGGCTAGCTCACAGCAACCTCAAACTCCTGGGCTCAAGAGATCCTCCTGCCTCAACCCTCCCGAGTAGCTGGGACTACAGGCATGCGCCACCATGCCGGGCTAATTTTTTTATATGTATGTTTTTTTTTAGTTGGCCAGTTAATTTCTTTCTATTTATAGTAGAGATGGGTTCTTGCTCTTGCTCAGGCTGGTTTCGAACTCCTGACCTTGAGCGATCAGCCCGCCTCGGCTTCCCAGAGTGCTAGGATTACAGGCGTGAGCCACCGCGCCTAGCCAAATATACAATTATTAAGTGTAGTTACTATACTATGCAATAGATCTCCAGAACTTAGTCTTCTTCTCTAACTGAAACTTTGTACCCTTTGAGTGACATCTTCCCGTAAGCCCCCGCTGGGCAGTTCTTTCAGCAAAGCATCAGCTACTAATTGTCCTTGCTTTATCATTATTATTTAAAGTATTAACATTTAAAAGTAAGTATTAAATGAAAACATATATTTTTTAATGTTTCTACATTAGCTAGTAATAGGCGGTGACTTCTTAACCTCTTCTGGCCTCAGTTTCTGCATCTGTAACAAGAGTTACAGTGAAAGATCACTAAGTGTTAGATACCTTTCAGCTCTAACATTCCACGATACTCTGAAATAAACATGGCTTAAATGGATGACAGTAGGTTCCATTTGGATGAATTCCTCTTTAGATAATGGATTTGGAAGGAATCCCAGAAATAGCTCCTTAAATCCACAACTCTGACATCACTGTCTTTCTTTAGCCATCAGCATTTCAAAGATTTAAGCCATTAATTTTAGATCTCTTACCTTCATCTCATACTATACTAACACAATAAAGGAGATACATTTCTTGTTAAGTCCCTGGAACTAATGTTTTTTCTGCTCATTTTACTATACACTTGCCACAGGTAAGGACCATGAGCCTAGTCTAGAACTATCCTTAATATAAACTTATAGGATTTCCATGAATAGAGGTTCTTTTAACTGGTAATCTAGATTACTCTTAAGAACTTTATATAATAGTGAAGGAGCACAAATATGTTGAAATAGATACTTTTTCCCCCAGAATAATTCTGCTTGTTTAAATTATAACTCTATTGGGGAGGAAAATGATAGGGGAGATTCAAATTGGAAAAATCTCTTTTAGGGTTCCCTCAAAACTTTTCCTGCCTTTCATAAGTAATATAAATGTATACTTCTCAAACTTTTCTATCCAACAAAGTACCCTCATGGCAGAAGAGAACACGTGTTTTTAAAGAGTATGGGGAGGTGCCTGTAGGAGCCCACTGAGAAGC